AAACTAGGAATGTAGTGGAAATCCCTCAAGGTAATAAAGGGCACCTATGAAAAACTTAGTTAAAATCACAGTCAACAGTCAAAGTCTAAATGTTTTATAGCCACTGAAGAAACAAGGCAATGATTTCCTTTATCACCATTACTACTTAACTGTGAAGTCTAGCCAAAGAATAAAAAGAAGTAAAATACATAGATTGGAAAGCAAGAAGTAAAAGTATCTTTATTTGCAAATAAGATATATGTATAAAACCCTAAGGAAACCACAAAAAAACTAATAGAACAAATGAATTTAGCAAGGTTGTGAATACAAAGTCTATAAACTGTTGTATTTTTATATACTAGCAGTAAGCAATAAGGAAATAAATTTTCTCTTAAAACTCCATTCACATTAAATGAACAGTAAAGTATTTAGGAATACATTAAACAAAAGATGCCTAAGATCCTTATGCTAAAAACTGTAAGACACTAAAAAAAGGAAATTAAAGAATACCTAAATAAATGAACAGATTTACCATGTTCATAGATTGAAAGATGAATAAGGATGCAATTCTTCCCAAATAGATCCAAGAATTAAATCCAATCCCAAATAAATCCCAACAGTCTTTTCTAAAGAAAATGACAAGAGGCTTTAAAAATGTATATGAAAAGACAACAGACAACTACAACGATTTTGAAATAGAACAAGGTTGGAGGACTTAAACCAAAAATAGCTAATATAAAGCTACATTAATCAAGACAGTAGTATAAGGATAGACCTGTAGATCAATGGAATCAACTAACAAATCTAGGAATAGACGCACATTTATATGGTCAATTTTTGACAAAGATGTGCCAAGAAATTTAATAAAGACAAAGTAAACTCTTCAACATATGGTATTGGAATAAATGAATATCTATATTAAAAATAAACTGGGTGTTGTGGCTCATGCCTGTAATCCCAGCACTTTGGGAGGCCAAGGTGAGAGACCAAGGTGAGAGAATCACCTGAGGTCAGGAGTTTGAGACCAGCCTGGCCAACATGGTGAAACCCCTCTCTACTAAATATACAAAAATTCACCAGGTGTGGTGGCACACACCTGCAATCCCAGTTACTCCGGAGGCTGAAGCACAAGAATCGCTTGAACCGGCGAGGTGAAGAAGGCTGCAGTGAGCTGAGATCACACAACTGCATTCCAGCCTAGGCAACAGAATGAAACTCTGTCTCAAAAAAAAAAAATTCTATTAAAAAATAAACTTCAGTCCGTATCTTAAACTATCTACAAAAATTAACTCAGGCCGGGCACAGTAGCTCACGCCTGTAAGCCCAGCATTTTGGGAGACCAAGGCGGGCAGATCACGAGGTCAAGAGATCGAGACTATCCTGGCCAACATGGTGAAATCCTGTCTCTACTAAAACTACAAAAAAAATTAGCTGGGCATGGTGGCACACGCCTGTGGTCCCAGCTACTTGGGAGGCTGAGGCGGAAGAATTGCTTGAACCCAGGAGGCGGCAGTTGCAGTGAGCCAAGATTGCGCCACTGCACTCCAGCCTGTTGACAGAGCAAGACTCGGTCTCAAAAAAAAAAAAAAAAAAAAAATTAACTCAAACTCTCACCTCATATTGATACACAAACATTAACTTAAAGTGAATCATTGACTTAAATATTAAGAGCTAAAGCCAAGCACAGTGGCTCACACCTTTAGTCCCAGCACTCTGGGAGGCCGAGGCGGGTAGATCACTTGAGCTCAGGAGTTCAAGACCAGCCTGGCCATCATGATGAAATCCTGTCTCTACTAAAAATACAAAAACTAGCTGGGTGTGGTGGCGAATGCCTGTAATCCCAGCTACTCAAGGTGGAGGCAGGAGAATTGCTTGAACCTGGGAGGTTGGGGTGGCAATAAGCCGAGATCCCGCCACTGCACTCCAGCCTGGGTGAAAGAATGAGAGTCAAAAAAATAAATAAATAAAAATAAATTAGGAGCTAAAACTATTAATATTTTCAAAGAAAATTATTGCCACACTTATTTAGGCAATTTTTCTCAAGCAGAACACAAAAGGCACAGATACATTTTTTAAATCTATATTGTGGCTTTATCAAAATTAAAATCCTTTGCTCTTCAAAAGTCACAGGTAAGCAAACAAAGACATAAGCCAGAACACCAGAAAAAAATTTCAATACAAAGATCCAACAAAAGACTAGTGTAAAGAATATACAAGGACTGGGCCAGGGGTGGTGGCTCATGCCTGTAATCCCAGCACTTTGGGAGGTCCAGGCGGGCAGATCACTTGAGGTCAGAAGGTCGAGAGCAGTCTGGCCAACATGGGGAAACCCTGTCTCTACTAAAAATATAAACATTAGCCAGGCATGGTGGCACATGCCTGTAATCCCAACTACTCGGGAGGCTGAGCCAGGAGAATCACCTGAACCTGGGAGGCAGCGGTGGCAGTAAGCTGAGACCACACCACTGTACTCCATCAGAGAAACAGAGCAAGACTCTGTTTAAAAAAAAAAAAAAAACAAGGACTACAACACAATAAGACACACAATCTAATTTCTGGTTTTAAAAAAGGGGGCAAAAGATTTTAGCAGACATTTCACAAATAAAAATATATAAATGGGTAATAAACACAAAGATGCTCAGTATTACTGGATTAATACTAAAGCTCAATATTACTTGTATTACTATTAACGTAAATTAAATCCATTACTGTACACCCACTAGGATGGCTAAAGTTAAAGACAGTTAACAACACCAATTGTTGGCAAGGATGAGAAACAACTCAAATTATCATACATAATAGGAAAATAAAAATAGTAAAACCACTTTGGAAAACAGTACATTACCTTACAAATTTAAATATACATTTACCATAGGATCCAAAAAAAAATTCCTCACTTAGGCATTTATCCAACAGAAAAGAAAACATGTCCACAAAAAAACTTGCAGAGATGCTTTGGGGGGCCAAGATGGAGGGCTCGCTTGAGACTAGGTGTTAGAAACCAACCTGGGCAACATAGCAAGACTCCGTCTCTACAAAAAATGCAAAAATTAGCAAGGTGGGATAGTGCATGCCTGTAGTTCTAGCTATGCAGGAGGCTGAGACAGGAGGATCACCTGAGCCTAGAAGTTTGAGGTTACAGTGAGCTATAATCACACCACTGCACTCCAGCCTAGGTAAAAGAATGAGACCCAGTCTCTTAAAAATGCTTGGGACCAGAATTATTTTGAATGTGGGGTATTTTTCAGATTTTTGAATATTTGCATTATATTTACCAGTGGAGCTTCCCAAATCCCAAAATTCAAAACCAAAAAAGCTTCATTGAGAGTTTCCTGTGAGTGTCATGTGAGCATTCAAAAAGTTTCAAATGTTGGAACATTTCAGATTTCAGACTTTTGGATTTGAGATGCTCAACCTGTAGTAGCATTATAATAATAGCTAAAAATAGAAGCAAAACAAATCTCCATCAGATGGTAGATGGAAAAATAAAGAGTGGTATACACACACACATAGACATTAAGAAATACTACAGAGCAGTGAGAAAGAATAAAATATTAGCATACATGACATGGAGGCCAGGTACAGTAGCTCACATCTATAATCCTGGCACTTTGGGAGGCCAAGGCAGGCAGATCATTTGAGGTCAGGAGTTTGAGACCAGCCTGGCCATCATGGTAAAACGCTCATCTCTATTAAAAATACAAAAATTAGATGAGAGTGGTGGTGGACACCTGTAGTCCCAGCTACTTGGGAGTCTGAGGCAAGAGAATCACTTGAGCCCAGAAGGTAGACGTTGCAGTGAGCAGAAATTGAACCACTGCACTCCAGCCTGGGAAAGAGAGCGAGACTCCATCTCCAAAAAAAAAAAAAAACATGACATGGATAAATTTAAAGCATTATGCCACTGCCATGCACAGTGGCTCATGTATGTAATCCTAGCACTTTGGGAGACAGAGGCAGGCAGATCACTTGACGCCTGGAGTTCAAGACCAGCCTGGCCAGTATGGCCAAACACTATCTCTACTAAAAATATAAAAATTAGCCAGGCATGGCAGCACATGCCTGTAATCCCAGCTACTTGGAAGACTGAGATATGAGAATCACTTGAACCCAGGAGGCAGAGGTTGCAGTGAGTCACGACTGTGCCACTGCACTCCAGCCTGGGTGACAGAATAAAACTGTCTCCAAATTATAAAAAAAAATTATGCCAAATTAGGATGAGGCAACCTTTGCTGTAAAAAGTCAGATAGGCTGGACACAGTGGCTCATGCCTATAATCTCAGCACTTAGGGAGGCTGAGACAGGAGGATGGTTTGAGGCCAGGAGTTCAAAACCAGCCTGGGCAACAGAGCAAGACATCATCTCTAAAACAAATTTAAAAAAAAAATTAAAAGCCCACATAGTAAATGTTTTTAACTTTGCAAGCCATTCAGTCTATCACAGCTGCTCAACTCTATTCTTGTAGCACAAAACAACCAGCAGACAATGCGTAAGGAACGAACATGGTTGCAATTCAATACAATTTTATTTACAAAAACACACAGAGGCCTGGATTTTGCTCACAGGCTGTGGTGTGCTGACCCCTGTACTAAGAGAAAGAAGTAGACCTCACAGACACAGATTATGTTTTAAAATTCTTTGGTTTTTTTTGAGACGGAGTCTCGCTGTGTCGCCCAGGCTGGACTGCAGTGTCGAGATCTTGGCTCGCTGCAACCTCTGCCTCCTGGGTTCAAGCAATTCTCCTGCCTCAGCCTCCCGAGTAGCTGGGACTACAGGTATGTGCCACCATGCCTGGCTAATTTTTTGTATTTTTAGTAGAGACGGGGTTTCACCTTGTTAGCCAGGCTGGTCTTGATCTCCTGACTCCATGATCCACCTGCCTCCACCTCCCAAAGTACGTGAACCATCGTGCCCGGCCTAAAATTCTTTGTAAGCCTCACAGCACTTAGCTAAGGGCTAAGGCTAACTACCAAGTCAATGGGTAAAAAGGAACTCAAGATAATCAGATAAGGAAAAATTACCTGTGGATCTGATCTTGCCTGCTAGAGCGAACTGGAGCTAATCCATCTATTTCATCAAAAAATATTATAGAAGGTCTCATCAAATATGCCTAGTAAAAAGAAAACAAATGATATATACTGTATTTGTTTTCATTTTTTAATTTATTTATTATACTTTCTTAATAGGTATTAAAAGCAAATGGTACAACATGCAGCAGGTATGAAGGAATATACAGTAAAGAAGAAATCTTACCACCGAGTCTCCAACAACCATGTCTCCTTCAGTAAGCAATTACTGTTTTCAGTTTGTTTATTTTTCCATACATATTTATACACATAAACCAAAGTGTATTTTTTAAAACACATGATAGCATCCCATACACATTCTATTTTTTTTAATCTTTATTTTATTTAGTTATTTTTTTGAGACAGAGTCTCACTTTGTAGCCCACGTTGGAGTGCAGTGGCGCAATCTCGGCTCAATGCAACCTCTGCCTCCTGGGTTCAGGCGATTCTCCTGCCTCAGCCTCCTGAGTAGCTGGGATTACAGGCATGGACCACCATGCATGGCTAATTTTTGTATTTTTAGTAGAGACAGGGTTTTATCATGTTGGCCAAGCTGGTCTCAAACTCCTGACGTCAGGTAATCTGCCCACCCTGGTCTCCCAAAGTGCTGGGATTACAGACATGAGCCACCACACCTGGCCTATATATTCTTTTTATAGCACAATGTGTACATTAAGCAGTTTCCACATAAGTATATTAAGACCTGTCTCATTCATTTTTTTTTTTTTTTTTTTTTACAGACAGGGTCTCACTCTGTCACCCAGGCTTGAGTGCAGTGGCATGATCACAGCTTGCTACAATCTCAAAGGCAAGCAATCCCCTTGCTTCAGCCTCCAAGTACCTGGGACTACAGGCAGGCACCAACACACCCAGCTAATTTTTAAATTTTGAAAATTAAATGGTGCCCAGGATGGTCTCAAACTCTTGGACTCAAGTGACCCTCCCACCTTAGCCTGCCAATGTGCTGGGACTACAGGCCTGAGATATTGCACTCAGCCAGCCTCATTCTTTTTCAACAGCTACATGATGTCCCACTGTATGGATGTGCCATAGTTAAACCTATCCCCTTCTTATGGATACTTAGGCTATTTTCATTATTTTCCTATTGGCAACAATATTGTAATAAATAATTATAAATAACAAATAATTGTATTTATCATTTCATATGAGTATAAACATATTAACAAGTCCTAAAAGTAGAACTACTGGCTCAAAAGGCATGTGTCATTTCTAATCTAGTGAGATATGTGCAAACTGACATACATTGAAGTACCATTGTACCCTCTAACCAGCAATATTTAAGGGTGCTCACCAGCAAGGTATTATCAAACTTACTGATCTTTGCTAATTTTTTAGGATAAATAATGTTATCTTATTTTAGTTTTAATTCTTATTTACATCATGAATAAAGACAAATACATTATATATCTTTAAAAGTCATTTATAGTGCTTTTCCTATGATAGTTCTGTTCATATCATTTACCCATTACTTCACAAGTTCACTAGTCTTGTGTTTAGTGAGTTCTAGAAGCTATTATTTATTTATTTTTATATATTTATTTTTAATTTGTGAGACAGGGTCTCACTCTCTCACCCAGGCTGGAGTGCAGTGGTGCAACCAAAGCTCATCTCAGCCTCCACCTCCCAGCTCAATCAATTCTCCTGCCTCAGCCTCCTGAGAAGCTAGGACTACAGGTCCATGCCACCACAGCTGGCTAATTTTTGTTTTATAGAGGCAGGGTTTCACCATGTTGCTCAGCCTTATTTATTTTAAAGGTAAGAGCTCTGTCTGTAAAAGGAAATGCAAATATTTTCCTGCAAAGAATATCACTTATCTTTTGGATTAGTATTGCTATGGTTTTTCCCCTCCAAAACTCATGTTGAAATTTAATTGCCAGCCGGGCTTGGTGACTCACACCAGTAATCCCAGCACTTTGGGAAGCCAAGGCAGGTGGATCACTTGAGGTCAGGAGTTCAAGATCAGCCTGGCCAACAAGGTGAAACTCCATCTCTACTAAAAACACAAAAATTAGCTGGGTGTGGTAACGAACGCCTGTAATCTCAGGTACTCAGGAGGCTGAGGCATGAGAATCGCTTGAACCCGGCAGGCAAAGGTTGCACTGAGCTGAGATCATGCCACTGCACTCTTTCCTTACATAGTTAGATCTTTCCTTACATAGTTAGACCTCCCTACTCTGAGATCATGCCTGGGTGACAGAACAAGACTCAGTCGAGAGAAGGAGGAAAGGAGGGGAGGGTGGGGCAGGAAGAGAGAGAGAGACAGAGAGACAGAGAGAGAGAGAGAGAGAAATTTAATTGCCATTGTGACGGGTACTGGGAGGTAGGACCTTTAAAAAGCATGTATGTCTTGAGGCCTCCACCCTCATAAATGGACTAATGTAGCTGACATCAAAGGAGTAGATTCATTATTGTGAGAGTGAGTTCACCCCTATCCTGTGAATTCTCTTTCTCTTTGCCCTTCTGCTACATGATGCTATCTTCTGTCATGTTACAACACAGCAAGAAAGCACTGATCAGATGCCTTGATACTGGACTTCCTAGTATACAGAACTGTGAGTCAATAAATTTCTGTTCATTCTAAATTATACAGTCTGTGATCTTCTGTTCTAACAGCACAAAACAAAAATAGGTATTTTGTTGCCATGCAGAATCTTAAAATTGTTTTTATGAAATAGATCTTTCCTTACATACTTAGACCTCTGTACTCTGGGATTATAAACAAAATCCTCCCATGTTTTCATCTGGTACTTTTACAGTGTAATTTTCCTAACTTAAATTTATTAGATTTAGAAAGAACTTAATCTGATTTAAGGTCAATGAGTATTAGATAACAAATGAAAAGGTTTTATCACATAATTTACTCAAAATTATGTGGCTTATGTTTCAAAATTAAAGCAAATTCTCAGTTCACAGGAAGATCAGCTTACTAAGCAAGAGATATGGATTTTCCATTTCTCCTGACAGATATACACTAAACTTCTAATGTTTTCTAATAATTTGAAATGAAAGACAACTGATGCCAGGCATGGTAGCTGATGCCTGTAATCCCAGGACTTTGGGAGGCCAAGGTGGGTGGATCACCTGAGGTCAGGAGTTCCAGAATAACCTGGCCAACATAGTGAAACCCTATCTCCACTAAAAATACAAAAATTAGCTGGGCGTGGTGGCGGGTACCTATAATCCCAGCTGCTTGGGAGGCCGAGGCAGGAGAATCACTTGAATCTAGGAGGCAGAGGTTGCAGTGAGCCAAGATCATCACACCATTGCACTCCAGCCCAAGCAAGAAGAGTGAAACTCCATCTCAAGAAAAATAAATAAATAAGACAATCCAACCACAAGATGTGGATTTTGGGGAAAAAAGTGTTTAAAGAACTGGAATTACGGCACAGTGCAGTGGCTCACACCTGTAATCCCAGTGCTTTGGGAGTACTGATCATTCTTTTTATATACATGAAACAAATAGCTGTTTTTCTGTTTTGTTTTATTTTGTTTTATAGCTATAGCCTCATAGGATTGCAAAAAGGAGGTAGAGCATATTATGTGCCAGTCACTATGATATTTTGTGTCCTCTCAGCAAAATCTCATAATAGTCTAGTAAGATACGTATTCTTTCCACCATTACACAAAAGAGGCTACTAAAGATTAAATGTTTTCATTTACTTAAAGTGATACTCAATGGTAAAGCTAGATATGAACATTTTTCTGACCCCGAAGGCCACTCTCTTAGCCAATACACTGAAGTACCTTCATTTCATTTAGTGCACAGACTATATCCTTTATTTAGGAATGCAGAATCGTTCATTAAAAAAAATCATGGGCAGGGAGTGGTGGCTCACACCTGTAATCCCAGCACTTTGGGAGGCTGAAGTAGGCAGATCACCAGAGGTCGGGAGTTCGAGACCAGTCTGACCAACATGGAGAAACTGTGTCTCTACTAAGTACATAAAATTAGCCGGACATGGTGGCACATGCCTGCAATCCCAGCTACTTGGGCAGCTAAGGCAGGAGAACTGCTTGAACCCAGGAAGCGGAGGTTGCAATAAGCCGAGATCGTGCTCCAGCCTGGGCAACAAGGCGAAACTCCGTCTCAAAAAAAAAAAAAAAAAAAAAACCATGATTTCCAGCAACTAAAATGAAAAAAAAGCAAACATTTCAACTACTCCTACCCACCAAGAAAACTATAACAGAAATAAAGTAAACGGGGACAAAAGCAGGAGCATGATTTATACTATGGTTTTAAATAAAACCAACAGGCATCCCTAGCCCCAGAATGAAATGACTAAAAAGCGTATCTTTAAAATTTTTAAATTAAATCATTGAATAATATGCCAGCATAGCCAATCCAATTCTTCCTTCATCTATAAATGTTTGTATTTTTATTGTTTAATTATTAATGAATTATCTTTAAGCATTCAGACTGCATGTTTGACTTGCCATTTGACACTGAACACCTTCAAGGTAAAAAATCTTACCTGCTCCTTTTTCTCAATCCATTACTTAGCAATTTTTAAATAGTATTGGGCCAGACACAGAGGCTCATGCCTACAATCCCGACACTTTGGGAGGCCGAGGTGGGAGGATAGCTTGAGGCTGGGAGTTCAAGACCAGCCTGGGCAACAGCTTGAGACCCTGCCTCTGCAAAAAGCTAAAAATTAGGCAAGGGTGGCAGTGCACACCTGTAGTTCTACCTAGAGAGGCCAAGGCCAGAAGATCACTTGATCCCCAGTGTTTGAGGATGCAGTAACCTGTAATCACATCACTGCACTCCAGCCTGGGTGACAGAGCACAACCCTGCCTTTAAAAAAAAAAAAAACTGTGAAGTACTTTACCAATTACAAAGGACTTTCATACACACCATCTTAGTAACGGGTGCTCAACACTTGTTGAAGCTGTTTTTAATTTCACATGAGTTTCCTCAGATATAATCATATATATACTGTATTGCCAAATATAAATGGCTTCCTTCACTAACTCAAACAATTAAAAGTGAATTTATATCGGGACTGATTTTTTTTTTATTATTATAATTTTTTTGAGAGACAGAGTCTCACTCTATTCCCCAGACTGTAGTACAGTGGTATCATAATCACTCACTGCAGGCTTTAACTCCTGGGCCCATGCGATCCATCTGCCTTGGCCTCTTAAAACATTGGGATTACAGGTGTGAGCCACTGTGCCCAGCTGGAATAATTTTTTAAATGTATGGGAAATAATATCTTTAAAGTTTTCATTACAATAGTAGACATAGTCCACATATTTATTCACCTCACTCTGCCTTTTAAAAGTATTCACTCATTTCTGAATTATTCATGTACCATATTTACAACTCATGAAAATAACACACGTGAGATTTCTTGCACAGATACTTAAGTTTTCATGCCTGTTCCAGTTCCTCAATTGGATTATAATCTAGCAATATATATATATGTTATTTCCTGTGTTCTCTAAAGCACCTAACACAGTATTATATTCCTGATAGCCACCTCAATAAATGTTTTATGAGCCATAAATATTCAAAAGGATTAGTGAAACTGCCATTAAATACCTGTAAGGCATAAAATAACAGATGATTGATCCTAAATATGAGATATTGGATGGAAAATCTGCTTCCTCACAAACAGTTTGCATTTGCAGATTAAATGTATTAAATATTCTAACAAAAATATTATCAGCAGGCAGATTGCTTGAGCCCAGGAGTTCGAGACCAGCCTGGCCAATGTGATGAAACCACCTCTACAAAAAATACAGAAATTAGCCGGGCATGGTGACGCACAACTGTAGTTCCAGCCACTGGGCAGGGACTGGAACAGGAGAATCGTTAGAGCCCTGGATGTCAAGACTGTAGTGAGCTGAAATCACGCTACTGCACTCACTCTAGCCTGGGTGACAGAGTGAGATCCTGTCTTAAAAAAACAAAAGGAAAGAAAATACTCTCGAATTAGATTATTTCTCTTACCTGATCAAAAAGAAGCCTAAGTTGCCTTTCAGATTCACCAACCCACTTGCTCAAACAATCTGCTCCTTTTCGCATAAAAAAAGCCACTTTTTTGTCTCCTTGGCTGCATTCATTAGCTAATGCTCTGGCGACCAAGGTTTTACCTGTGCCAGGAGGGCCATAAAACAAACAGCCCCTAGAAGAATAAAAAAAAAAATTTAAGAAAAGTAAATTATGTTATCAACACTGCTGATAACCAATTTAAAAGGATGTCCCTCCCTCCCATAAAATTTTGTATTGAAATATAATTATTAGACATTGATAAAGCTTTTTCCAGTATATAAACAAAAGTTTCACTTTGCTAAGTCCTTAAATTACCAAGCTTTGGCAGACAAGACATAGTTAAAGTACAGAGTAATTTGGCAAGATATACAGAAATTTTAAATGTGTTTCCCTATGACCCAGAAATTTCACATCTTTAGAATAAATAATGTAGAAATACTCAAAAGGAATGTATAAAGATAGATTTAAATGACCCTTTAATAAGATTTTCCATATCCTTAAAAACATGAAAAATAAATTAAAACCAAATCTGAATAACAAATCTGAATAACAAATCTGAATAACTGACTTAAAATAGTCAGTTTAAATCTAACAGCCTATATGTATATCTTCAGAATATTCTATTATTCTTTTTTTCTTTTAAGATGGAGTCTCACTCTGTCACCCAGGCTAGAGTAGAGTGGCTCAGTCTCAGCTCACTATAACCTCTGTCTCCTGAGTTCAAGTGATTCTCATACCTCAGCCTCCCAAGTAGCTGGGATTACAGGCGTGTGCCACCACACCCAGCTAGTATTTGTATCTTCAGTAAAAACGAGATTTCATCATGTTGGCCAGGTTGGTCTCGAACTCTTGACCTCAGGTGATCCACCCACCTCGGCATCCCAAAGTGCTGGGATTACAGGCGTGAGCCACCGCACCCAGCCAGAATATTCTATTCTGCCCAATCTTCTTTAACATAATTTTCTCAGCCTTTTCCAATAGTTCACCAGCTATCCACCTCATTATCAGACACGATCTGTTCCTAAAAATAAATTATCAAGCTCACCCTGTTTTAAAAATACTCCATCATCAAGTCAAAGAAACACATCAATAAAATTGTGCTTCCAAGAGTAAATAACATATAGTATCAAACTGGATGTACTGGGAGCCAAATTCAGGAAAATCCATATGGACAATCTGGCTGTGTATTTAGGGCTCACAGAAAGAATCTTATAGAGTGCCTGACTTAAATCCTGAGATGTAAACTTCAAGAGCACACTTAATTCCACGGCCTCTGGCCCCTAACAATAACATTTTATTTCTGTCATTGCTAGGACACATCAAATAAATATATATCTCATATTTATATTTATAGTCATTTACTCAATTAAATAACACTTGATAAAGTAAAGATAATAACCATAAACATCTATGACATTGCTTACCTTGGAGGCTGAATTTTAAACTTTTCAAAAATTTCTGGATATAAAAGTGGGAATACTACCATTTCCTTTAGTGCATGAATATGATGGCTCAATCCACCTATGCTATCAAACCGTACCTTGGAAAGAAGGGGAAAGATTTGATATAAAACCATTTTATATGTTTCATATAATTTTTAAAATTTATACAAGAGTCTTATAATTCAGAAATATATGCCTTTAGCAGAAGCTTTTAAACATAACTACAAATAAGCAGAGAAAAATAAGGCCAACAATAAAATCCAAGTTTACATTTCCGTTCAGGCAAATTAAGCTACCATTATTTAATTGAGTAACCCAGAACCAGGATTAATGCCCAACCTAAAACTTTAATAGGTATCTATTGGAGATTTTTATATTACATTAACACACTAAAAGTTTTAATGGGCCGGGTGCTTGTGATCCCAGCACTTTGGGAGGCCAAGGCTGGTGGATCACCTGAGGTCAGGAGTTTGAAACCAGCCTGACGAACATGGTGAAACCCCATCTCTACTAAAAATGCAAAAATTAACAAGGCATGGTGGTATACGTCTGTAATCCTAGCTACTTGGGAGGCTGAGGGAGGAGAATCTCTTGAAGCCAGGAGGCAGAGGTTGCAGTGAGCAATATCATGCCATTGTACTCCAGCCTGGGCAACAAGAGTGAAACTCCATCTCAAATAAAAAATGTTTTAATGGCTTTAAAAATATATAATTATTTTGTACATGTTTGTATATGTATTCTCAGAAGAGGCAATATCATCCTCACAGGGGCAAAAATTGGTTCAAGGGTAAGGGCAAGAAAAAAAATCTTAGCTATTTACAATAGTTTGCAGCCCTCCCAAGGTCAAGCTTACCTGACAAAATTATTCTTTAATATTTAATTTCTTTTGAGAGTAATTTGATTTTTTTTTCTTTATGGGACAATGATGAAAAAATGATTTTAAAAACACTGATCTATCACAAGCAGCAGCAAAGACTGTTCTTCCCATTCATAACAGCTAGAAGGCTTTGTAAGAAAAAAAGTGTGTCGGATTTTAACAAAATAACTCGCCCGGTATAGTGGCTCATGTCTGTAATCCCAGCATTTTGGGAGGCTGAGGCGGGCAGATCACCTGAGGTCGGGAGTTCAAGACCTGCCTGACCAACATGGAGAAACCCCATCTCTACTAAAAATACAAAATTAGCTGGCATTGGTGGCGCATGCCTATAATCCCTGCTACTTGGGAGGCTGAGACAGGAGAATCACTTGAACCCGGGAGGCAGAGGTTGCAGTGAGCCAAGATCACACCATAGCACTCCAGCCTGGGCAACAAGAGCAAAACTCCATCTCAAAAAAAAAAAAAAAAGAAGAAGAAGTTACTCTACTTGACTGGAAGAGACATCTAAAATTAACTAGATTCATTTATAAATGGATGGATGAAAATATATGAAACAAAAATAAAAAATAATAAATTTTTTTTAAAAAAGACAAAAAAGAAATAAAGCTAACTAGATTCAAAAGAGTAAAGTGGTAGTAAACCAAATAAGCAAAGTAAGGTCTTCTGAGAAGATGTACTATTAGAAATGGGATTCTGGTCATATTCAATACTCTAGTACTTCCTTAGGGCCTCATTAATAAAGTAAAACAGGCATTTTCCTCTATGACTTCAGATTAGAGTTAAAATTTCACCTTCCAGTATATATGCAATTCTATTTGATAACATTTTAAATCTCTCATATGAAAGTCACTTACATTATATAGAGAGATTTATGGGAACAAAGAAAAAATATATCAAATAAATTCTTGGTTATGAAATAACCTTATTCTAAAATACCCTCCAAAATAAGATACTACTAACAATGAGAAAGAATCTACCATGTCCTCTGAGTCTTGTGTCTGTTTTCATGCTACATGCCTTCCCCAGGTGTGATTGATCATTCGTTTTCCAAAGTGACCCCACAGCTCTTTATATTGATGACCTGTATCTGAATTTCTAGTCCAGACATTTCTCCTTAATGCCAAACCTAAATAACCAATTATCTACAAGGTGCTTCCACTTGTAGTATACCTCAGATACCTAAACATGTATTAGTTAAATATAACTAATCAAATCATATCCCTGACTCAAATATTTATTCCTCTTCTTATGTTCCCTACTCAGAGAACTGAGCCATTTCCTATCCAGTCCATCCTTTATCTACCTAGTTGCTTAAGCTAGAAACCTGAGTAATACTCTCAAGTTGTACCTTTCCCTCATTCCCAAAAGGCAATCAATTCACCAAATTCTGTCATTTCTGAATTCAACCCTCAATTCTTTCAAACCCAGTTACTTCTCATCATTATCCTACTTTCTTTCCTGTTTTGTTTTGGTTTTTTTTTTTTTGGTTTTTTTTTTTTTTTTTTGAGATGAAGTCTCACTTTGTCTCCCAGGCTGGAGGGCAGTGGCAGAATCTCAGCTCACTGCAACCTCCACCTCTCAAGTTCAAGCAATTCTCCTGCCTCCGCCTCCAGAGTAGCTATGACCACAGGCACACACACCAACATGCCTGGCTAATTTTTGTATATTTAGTAGAGACAGGGTTTCACCATGTTGGCCAGGCTGATCTCAAACTCCTGACCTCAGGCAATCCACCCACCTTGGCCTCCCAAAGTGCTGGGATTACAGGCATGAGCCACTGCGCCTAGCCCATTATCCGACTTTCTACTATAACCACTACTCCAGATTCCTAGACCACAGCAACATCCAGTCTCCCTAATGCCAGCCTTGCTTCCCCCAAATTCATTAACTGTATCATAACCAGAGTGATCTACCCAAAATACCAAAATCATGAAACTAGGCAATTTCAACAACAGTCCATTGTTCATCATGGTTTATGAAGCCTTGCCCCTCATAACCTTCTCAGCCTCATTTCCTCCCTATTATATATTCCAGTAACACTGAAATGAAAATACCTAAGCACCACATGTGACTAGGGTTTTTAGGCAAAGCATATATGTTGAAACATTAATAATGGTCATATCTGAATTTTCTAGTTCTGCTATGTGCTGCTTTAGAAACAAGAAAAACGCTTAAAAAATGAAATCTTCTAGAAAAACATTTATAAAACTTACTGATTTATCAATGTTCATTGGATCAACATCAGCCAAGCTTGCACCCACTTTGACTCGTTCTCGGAGAATACCACTAGCTAAATCCTCTGCTCTGAAGTTCATAGGCAAACATCTGAAATTTATAAAGTCCAAGTAAAACTGCATTACAAGCTTCACATTTTTAATGTCAAAGTAAGTTTACATCTTTGATGTGTCTTCATCTTTCTCTTTTTTCTCATAACCCAGAAAATAATATCAAAGGATTTCATATTTTTGCTCTTCTTTTCTTAAATTCTGTCAATGGCCAAAATTTAAGTTACTCACAAGATAAAGCAAACAAGATCATTAATCTATTTGCTCAAAGAGCCCAATCTATTCCATTTTAGGAGAATATCTTACATACCTGATATCCCATGTTATACAACTATAAAATAAAAATAAACCTATAAGTACTATAATATATGGGATTAAAATAAAATCAAGCTGTTGATTTATTTATTAATTAAGACAAGGTCTCACTGTTGCCCAGGATGAATTGCAGTGGTGCAGTCACAGTTCACTACAGCCTCAACCTCCTGGGCTCAAGTGATCCTCCCACCTCAGCCTTCCAAATAGCTGGAACTACAGGCAAGCACCACTATGCTTGGCTGATTTTTTATACAGACAAGGTGTCACCATGTTGCCCAGGCTGGTCCCAAATTCCTAGGCTTGGCCTCCCAAAATGCTGGGATTACAGGCATGAGCCATCAGTCTAACCTTTATTATAATATTTAAATTTATCCTCAGATAGTACATAAAGATGTCTACTCAGTTACATGATTGAAAAAACTGTCTTTCCCTTTTGTTCAAACAAACTAGAGATCACATCTTGAAGACGAAGCTTTATCTTTTGTATAACTACCTTAAGAGAGATCTCTAGCTATCTAAAATCCTAGACTACATTATTTAACACATTATTTAATTTTCCTGAATATAGTTGACTTACTCTTTTAACCTTGGGTAAACAACAAACAATAACATTAACAACCTCAAAAATTCTAGCATCTATAATGAATGAACTTCACTGAAGTTTCTGAATCCTAATTTATAAAAATACATTATCAAAGTAGATTATCAGAATAGTTCAAATTAAGCATTAAATTCTTTTATTTAAACTTGGATTTTTCTCTTCATTTTCTTTCCATCATTCACATGAGAAATTCTTTTTTAGTATACAATCTACACCAATCCAAACTTGTTTCCGAGACCGGCTAATTAAAAACTTGGTATTTCTACAATAAATAATAATTTGACACTTTAATTATTTACTCCTCCACTGAAAATTATTTGAGGTTTTAGTGAGCTAAACAGTAATCAGTTAGTTACCCTAGTTAGGCTTCACTAGAGGCACTTGTCCGACCAACAACAAAAACAAAATAAATTTTTCCAATAAAAATCCAAAGTGTCCTGAGATAATTCTATTAGAAACCATGCCTTACTCTGATTGCTATAATACTGTAATCATTATAAGCACCAAAAATCAACCTCATTAAATGGATTTAGATAAGAGAGGAGGTACAGAGGAAAAGACAGACACTATCATATAAGTTGGCCTCTCTGTTTCCCTTAGCTCTCCTTACTTTCCCTCTCTGCAAATTATTTTATCATAAGTACTTTCAGACTAAGTAATTATGGGGAAATTTCCCAAGGTTAGATTTCTACTGGAAGAGAAACTAAGTAGACAACAAGTCAATGTCTTAATCTAGTCTAAAATATATGTTGAATATCAATGTTATCAAAGTATCTATATGATATAGATAAGAAACTCACTAAAAAAAAAAAAAGCATTATTTTTCCTTTTTCTACCATGAAAATAACACTAAAAATTTTACTAACCTATTTCTTGCTCTTGCCATGCTCTTTGATTTCCTTCTTTCAAAGCGTTCCTCATCAGAAGAAGTTGTGTCACTACTATGAATGGCATGCTTCTTTCTCCTATTTAAAAACAGTAAAATCCTTAAAACCGTTATAATAGCAAACAACTTTTTAAAACACACTGTAATCATATCTACAATTAGTAGAAAATTCAATCAGCAAATATTTATTAAGATTTTGCTCTCATACAGTTTACATCAATGAAGTATAAAGGTAGCAAGTTCTGAAGAGAAAAAGAGAAAAAAAAAAGTCCGGCACAGTAGCTCACCCCTGTAATCCCAGCACTTTTGAGAGGTGAAGGCAGGCGGATCACAAGGTCAGGAGTTGGAAACCACCAGACTGGTCAACATGGCAAAACCCCGTCTCTACTAAAAATACAAAAATTAGCTGGGTGCAGTAATTACAGGGTGGGCACCTGTAATCCCAGCTACTCGGGAGGCTGAGACAGGAGACTTGCTTGAAACTAGGAGGCAGAGGTTGCAGTGAGCTGAGATCATGCCACTGCACTCGAGCCTAGGTGACAGAGCCAAGACTCCATTTTGAAGAAAAAAAAAAAGAAAAGAGAACAAGAAGAATAGGAAGTCTAAAATTTTTTGAAAAGAATAATTCAGGAAGGGAGTCAGTAACCAACTTTTTGTTTGTTTGTTTGAGACAGGGTCTTACTGTCACCCAGGAAGAAGTGCAGCGGCAAGCTCAGGGTTTACTACAGCCTTAACCTCTGGGGCTCAGCAATCCTCCCACCTCAAACTCCCAAATAGCTGGGATTATAGGCTCATGCCACCACACATGGCTAATTTTCGTACTTTTTGTAAAGAAGGGGTTTTACCATGTTGCCCAAGGTGGTCTCAAAATCCTGAGCTCAAGCAATCTACCCACCTCGGCCTCCCAAAGTGCTGGGATCACAGACATGAGCCACCACACAGCGACAGCAACCAATTTAAATTACATCCAAATTTAGCAAATATCTGCCATTGTTTGATAAATAATATTAGAATCTCAGAAAAAAAAAAAGGTTGTCTTTTATTTATTTATTTTTTTTGAGACGGAGTTTCGCTCTTGTTACCCAGGCGGGAGTGCAATGGCGCGATCTCGGCTCACCGCAACCTCCGCCTCCTGGGTTCAGGCAATTCTCCTGCCTCAGCCTCCTGAGTAGCTGGGATTACAGGCACGTGCCACCATGCCCAGCTAATTTTTTGTATCTTTAGTAGAGACGGGGTTTCACCATGTTGACCAGGATGGTCTCGATCTCTCGACCTCGTGATCCACCCGCCTCGGCCTCCCAAAGTGCTGGGATTACAGGCTTGAGCCACCGCGCCCGGCGTCTTTTTTTTTAATTCTACCTTTCCCAAAGAGTCACAGTGTAGACATTTAAAGAACAAAGGCAAAATAATACACTGGGTTACAGAGGACAAGGGCTTTCACTTTCCACTTAAGATATTTCTATCCTGTTTGAACTTCTTATAAAATACATAAAATATTTTGAAGAAAAAAATAGTTTATAACCAGACTATTATGGAAAGATTAGGTAATATGCCAGGCTAAAGTCATCACAAAGGAGAAATAATACTTAATAAATGTCAGATTATTATAGTATAACTCATGATATCACTAAGATATCTTAAAAATACTATAATAAAACCACCACTAAATTGTGTGCTTATGAAGTGTTCAAACTGAGTTCATCATATCCAAATCAAATGCTTCAACCACTTCTTTTAAACTGCATATTCAGTTAGCAGTTCCACTAACCAGTAATTTGCAAAAAAAAAAAAACAAAAACAAAAACAAAAAAAAACTCAAAAATCCCTTTTTGCTCACCACATAATCACTGCCTGTAAATATCCCTTATGTCATCTTTTTCTCCATCCCTACCTAGGTTTCACTTACCACCTGCCTAGCCATTTAACCACCTCAGCTCTGCTTTACTTAAAAAAAAAGAAAAAATTTGCCATGATCTTACATCAGATCTTGTTATCGCATGAACTGCTCTCCATCTCTGCAATTTTAAAATTTAATGGCCTGCTTTTTGAACACAACCTCCTAAAATACCAACTTTCAACTCATCAAGGCCTACTATGCCTGAGCACCCATTGACTCAGAGTCAACTCCTTTCGTGGCTTCATTTTCTGTCAAGCCTCAGAGTAAAAGCTATTATTTCAGTTTTTAATCTTCTTACCTGACTCTGTCTCCTTTTTCTTCCATTATACTTGCTAAATTCAAACCCTGTACCAATCCAAGTAATAAAAGTGCTGAACACCCTAATGAAAATCCATACAACCAGACAAGCTGGAATCATTGTCAGTAATTTACTACAAGCACAAATAGCCTTCAAAGCTGTCCCAAAATCTGTGCATCTGTACTCCACTCCAATTCCCACATGGCTCATTAGCAACCCAGATTTTTTCAACTTCTTGAGATTCTTAACCCACCTCCTACTCTTTCTTTGCTAACCAGAATCCTTTTATTACCTTCTGCACTCATTTTTTTGTGGGGGAAGAGGGAATTGTTTCTGTTTTCATTTTTGTTTTTAGATAGAGGGTCTCACTGTGTCATCTGGGCTGCAGTGTAGTGGCATGATCATAGCTAACTGCAGGCATGTGCTTCTGGGCTCCCACAATCCTCCTGCCTCAGCCTCCCAAAATGCTGAGACTATAGGCATGAACCACCATCATGCTTGGCCCTGCATCAATTTTTTTTTTAATTGCACATCATTCCTATATTATACTGATCTGGAAAAAGGATTTAGTACAATTATGTTCAAATGAAGACTGGACCCACATGGCAGGGCCAAGAAACTAGAACATGATTTAGAAATTGTCAGTGAAAGACACACTTGGACAGGACCAAGAGGCGTTTCACTGCCACGAAACAAGGCAAGGGAGGGATTCTAAAACACACAGCAGGAAGCACTCTTACCCCTCAAGAGGTCAAAAGCTTATCCCATATTGGTATGAGGAGTGGCTTATTTTCTGACAACCACATGTGGGACTATTTCAGCTGCCATGAGAAACCCCAGAAGGGTTATTGTTTTGTGTTATTTATATATACCACACTTTTTTAAAAAAAATAAAAGTAAACATAACACATAAACTAAATTCAGGATTAATCCCAACCTTCTAGAGCTAGCTCCTCTGGGATCAGGGAGGAAACAGTTGTTGCATCACAATGCAGGTTACATTCATCTTCCACTGGAATGACTAGAACTCCTCAGCAGTGACCTGACTACAAAGAGCACAGGACTGGCTCCTGGGCGCAGACAGCCTCTCATTTCTCCTCATTGGTCATGGCTTAGCATGGTTCCTCTCCACAAGTCCTTAGTAAACAAAGCATTCATAAAAACCCAAGTCATGACCTTTAAACTCTCTTGGACAAGGAGAGCTTTTCTGCAGCTCGGACTGAGAACCCAGTGTCCTAGAAGTGCTATTCTGACTAGACTGTATGAAGAGAGTGGGTGCAGGAGACAAAATGGCTAAAATGAAAATGGGAGCCACTGGTCCCCATCTGCAGTTACAACTCAAGATGTCTACAGATGTGGTCAGTGTGACATGTGCAGGAGAGAAGGGCAGATGGACACAACGGGCAGGGTGGGTGCTCCAGGGGACAGTAGCCTGCCCGCTGGCCTTCACTTCTTGGCCTCGCCCTGGGCAGCCACAGCTTCCATGGCTTTATGCATGGTCTCTTCATTCCCCAGGAACTACAAGCACCTGATGGGCTTCAAGTTCTTGTCCAATTCATAGCCAATGGGAATACCAGTTGGCAGGTTCACCTCCACGATAGGCTCTTCAGAAAGACCCTCCAGATGACTCACAATGGCCCATAGGCTGTTGCCCTGGGCTGCAATCAGTACCCATTCCCTATCCTTGACCTGGGGGACTATTTCTTCATTCCAAAAGGACAGAGCTCTGGTAATAGTGTCCTTCAGACTCTCACTGGAGGGTAGCTGATTCTCTGTGAGGTCTGCATACCTGCGATCCTTACTAATGTTGCTGTAGAAAGGATGGTTGGGCTCCATTAGAGGTGGTGGGACATCATAGGAGCACCTCCAGATCTTCACCTGGGCCTCACCATGCTTTGCAGCAGTTTCGGCTTTATTGAGACCGGTGAGACCCATAGTTCTGCTCATTGAGGCACCAAGTCCTCACTATAGACAGCCACATCTGATCAATGGCATCTAGCACTGTCCAGAGGGTCCGGATTGCTCTCTTCTGCACTGAGGTGAAGCAGATATCAAACTCACAGCCAGGATCTCACAGCACCTGCCTGCCATACTTCACCTCCTCCTGAGCCGCTGGGCTCAGGTTGGCATCGTACCAGACGCTGAAGCAGTTCTCCAGGTTCTAGGTGCTCTTGCCAGGCCAGATCTGCACCAGTTTGTAGGTGGCCATGGCAGTGGCTTGGGGAGTCCCTGCATCAATTTTTGATGTTTCCCAACTCTTCAGGAAGATTGTTAAAAAAATTATCTACTTATTCTTTGCAATTTTGATATTTATCCTCTCCTCTACTTCTTTCTCCCCATCAGGAAAGTTCCCAAGTTTATGTGTGTATTTGGCCTATAATATATAGAAATGTAATAAATTTGCCAATAACAGCACAGAAGGAAGTTGGTGGGAGCAAAGTTGTATTAGTCTAAGAAAATGACTTCAGTTGATAAACTGAACGCATAAGAAAAAAACCAAGAGAACAAAAAATGGTAAATCAATTTCAAAGTTAATATAGCAATACCTATAAACATATAATCATCCCTCAGTACATACAAGAAAATGGTCCCAGGACCCTTGTGAATGCCAAAATCTGAGTATGCTTAAGTCCCTTATATAAAAATGGTATAGTGTTTGCATATGGCCTACACACATACTCCCATACACTTTTTTTGAAAATTTATCGAAGACTTAACATTAAGAGTTACCTCCTATATATTTTAAATCATCTCTAAATCAATTATAATACCTAATACAACACATATGCTATGTAAATAGTCATCTTGCTATATTTCTTGTTGTTGTATTGTTGGCATTTTTTCTCAAATATTTTTGAGGCCTGGTTGGTGGCATTCACACATGCAGAACCCATGGCTAAAGAGGAATGACTGTACTTGCTAATATTTCTTCTAGCAGCTTCAGTAAAAGCCATTAAATCATATGAAGTAATAATTACAACAATGTATTATTAGATCTGTAACATTTTTAGGTGTGATACAAATAGTAATACAACAGAAAGAGTGGTACACATAATTTCCCTATAAAGAACTGAAAAGCCAAATTTTAGTTGGGGCCAGGCACGGTGGCTCATGCCTATAATCTCAGCACTTTGGGAGGCTGAGGCGGGCAGATCACTTGAGGTCAGGAGTTTGAAACCAGACTGGCCAACATGGTGAAACCCCATCTCTACTAAAAACACAAAAATCAGCCAGATGTGGTGGTGCATGCCTGTAATCCCAGCTATTCAGAAGGCTGAAGCAGGAGAATTGCTTTAACCCAGGACACAGAGGTTGAAAAAAAAAGAACTTAAAAGCCAAGGAGTTGGTGGCTCATGCCTATAATTCCGGCACTTTGGGAAGCTGAGGTGGGCAGATCACTTGAGCCCAGGAGTTTGAGAACAGCCTGGGCAACACAGCAAAACCTTGTCTCTACATTAAAAAAAAAAAAAAAAAAAAAATTAGCAAAAACAAATAAAAGCCAAGGAGTATGTATATATACACAAAATATACAAAACTAACTCAAACCATATATAAAAATTAACTAAATAAATCAAAGACCTAAACATAAGAAATAAAACTATTAGAGGAAACCACAGGAACAAATCTTTATGACCTCTGAGTTGGCAATGGATTCTTAGATATAACAATAAAAGCATAAGCAAAAAATAAAAAATAGGTAACTTGAACTTTGTAAAAATTAAAAGCTTGGCTGGGCACAGTGGCTCACACCTATAATCCTAGCTCTTTGGCAACACTTGAGCTCAGGAGTTCAAGACCAGTCTGAGCAACATGGAAAAACTTCATCTCTACAAACAATGCAAAAATTAGCTGGGCATAGTGGCGTGTGCCTGTAGTCTCAGCTACTCGGGAGGCTGAGATGGAAGGACTGCTTAAGTACAGGAGACTGAGGCTGCAATGAGCCAAGATCATGCCACTGCACTCCAGCCTGGGTGACAGAGCAAGACCCTGTCTCAAAAATAAAAAATAAACTTTTAAAAGTAGAAACCGTCCTTTGTTTCTACTTTCTTCTAAATGTAAAAGAAAGGATAATTAGGGAGAAAAGAGTATCAAAGATTAACTTGAGTCAATGCTTCAAATGAAAGCAATATGGGTCACTCAGATTCAACTCTGCTAAGAGACCAAAGAGTTATGTAGCTTCAGGGAATTAAAAAATAAACTTTTAAAAGCAAAAACTGGCTGGGCACAGTGGCTCACATCTGGAATCCCAGTACTCTGGAAGACCAAGCGGGGTGGATTACTTGAGGTCAGGAGTTTGAGACCAGCTTACCCAATATAGTGAAACTCCGTCTCTACTAAAAATAGGAAAATTAGCTGGGTCTGATGGTGCACACCTGCAATCCCAGCTACTCAGGAGGCTTAGACAGAATTGCTTGAACCCAGGAGACTGAGGTTGCAGTGAGCCGAGACTGCACTACTGCACTCCAGCCTCAGCAACAAAGCAAGACTCCATCTCAAAAAAAAAAAAAAAAAAAAAAGGAAAAAGGAAAAAAAAAAAAAGGCCAGGTGTGGTGACTCATGCCTATAATCCCAGCACTTTGGGAGGCCGAAGCAGGTGGATCATGAGCTCAGGAATTTGAGACCACTCTGGCCAACATAGTGAAACCCTGTCTCTAATAAAAATACAAAAAATTAGCTGGGCATGGTGATACGAGCCTGTAATCCAGTTACTTGGGAGGCTGAGGAAGGAGAGTCACGCGAACCTGAGAGGTGGAGGTTGCAGTGAGCCGAGATCATGCCATTGCACTCCAGCCCGAGCAACACTGTGAGAGTCCATCTCAAAAAAAAAGAAAAAGAAACCTTCCTTTGTACCTACATGTAAAAGAAAGGATAATTAGGGGGTAAAAAATATCAAACATTAACTCAAATTAATGCTTCAAATGAAAGCAATATGGGTCACTTAGATTCAACTCTGCTGAGAGACCAAAGAGCTGTGTAGCTTTAGAGAACATAACTGTTAAAACAATAAATATTCCAAGCAAACTGTGAATCAGGAAGACAATAGTCACATGTAGGATGATAACTATTAGTCACTAATTAAAGAAAGAAAGATACGATTAGTCTCTCATTGACAAATGCATATATTTCCTCCTTTCAAAAGCAAACAAAACTTACCTAATATGGCTTCTTCTTGCTGGAGATCTATGAATATCAAACAGTGCGTTTTCTCTTTTTTTTTGATGAGCAGGTACTAAAAGGGAAGCAAAAAATAATAGAGAAATAACTAATAAATTGAAAATGTATTAAAGGAGTAGAAATGACTTCTGATAACTTTTTAAATAAGACCTAGTCTTGTGTCTTCAAGTACAATGCTGTCTAGAAGCAAAACAAAAATAAAAATTTTGTGGCAATACTATGAAGTTGCAAATAAATATTCTAAACAGATGTTAGCTTAATCTTTGTGACGATGAGTTAGACAAAGATTTCTCAAATACATAATCCATTTAAAAAAATTTAGCACAATCTATTAAGAAAAATTTTATAGTCTGGGAACAGTGGCTGACACCTGTAATCCCAGGACTTCGGAAGGCCAAGTCAGAGAGGACTGCTTTGAGCCCAAGGGCTCAAAATCAGCCTGGGAAACATGGTAAGAACCCAACTCTAGTTCGATGTGGGTGCAGATCACTTGAGTTCAAGACCAGCCTGACCAACATGGTAAAATCGTGTCTCTACTAAAAATATATATACACAAAAATTAGCCAGGCACGGTGGCATGCACCTGTAATCTCAGCTTCTCAGGAGGCTAAGGTAGGAGAATCACTTGATTCCAGGAGGCAGAGGTTGCAATGAGCCGAGATCATGCCACTGCACTCCAGCATGGGAGACAGAGCAAGACTTCATCACCAAAAAAAAAAAAAGAAAGAAAGAAAGAAAAAGACAAGACAAGACAACACAAGAAGAAAAAAAAAACCCAACTCTACAAAAAAATTTTTAAAAATTAGCCAGGTATGGTGACATGCACCTCAGCAGGCTGAAACAGGAGAAGGCTGCAGTGAGCCATATTCATACCACTGCACTCCGCACTCCAGCCTGGGTAACCCTATCTCAAAAAAAAAAAAAGGACGAGGTATAAATTGGAGTTCATTAAAATTACAAATCCACTAAAAAACTTTTTATTAAAAAAAAAGTATAGGCTGGGAACAGTGGCTCACACCTGTAATCCCAGGACTTTGGAAGGCTGTCAGAGAAGACTGCTTTGAGCCCAGGAGTGGCAGGAGACTGTAATCCCAGCACTTTGGGAGGCCTACACAGGTGGATCACCTAAGGTCAGTAGTTCTGAGACCAGCCTGCCAACATGGTGAAATCCTGTCTCTAATAAAAATACAAAAATTAGAAGGGGGTGGTGGCACATGCCTGTAGTCCTAGCTACTTAGGAGGCTGAGGCGGGAGAATAGCTTGAACCCAGGAAGCAGAGATTGCAGTGAGCCATGATTGCACCACTGCATCCCAGCATGTGCAATAGAGTGAGACTCTGTCTCAAACAATAAATAAAATTATAAACTTGTGTTCTTCAAAAGATACTATTGAGACATTAAAAAAGACAAGCCACAGACTGTCTTGTCTTAAAAGTATTTGCAAATTACATGTCTGTTAAATGCCTAATATCCAGACCATATAAGGAATCTCAAAACTCAATAACAAGAAAACAAACCCAATTGAAAAAATGGCAAGAGATCTCAACAGACATTTTACAAAAGATTTATCACTGTCAAAAGAAAACCACACACACACACACGAAAAGATACTCCAGCACCATTAGGGAAATGCAAACTAAAACTATAATAAGTAACTGTTAAAATTAATTAAATAGTCCGAGTATACCAAGTGTTGACAAGAATACAGAGCAACTACAGCTCTCATACACACTCAGTGAAAATGGTATAACCACTTTAAAAAAGAATTTGGTAATTTCTTATATCTCATCATAAAACCCAGCCTTTCTACTCCTTGGTATTTATTAGAAATATAAAAACATATGTCCACACAAAGACTTGTAAATGAATGTTCATCACAACTTTATTTCTAATAGCCAAAAACTGGAAAGGATCATAATGTCAATTAACAAATGAATGGATAAACAAATTGTGACATATCCATACCACAGAATGATACTCAGCAATAAAAAGAAATACAGAGCTGGGTTCAAGCCACCACAGTGCTTTGGGAGGCCAAGACAGTAGAATTCCTTGAGCCCAGGAGCTTAAGACCAGCCTGGGCAACATAGCAAGACCCTGTCTCTTAAAACAAACAAACAAACAAACAAAAACTAATTAGCTAGGCATGGTGCTGCACACCTGTAGTTCTAGTTACACAAGGGGTTGAGGTAGGAGGAAAGCTTGAGCTCAGAAGTAGAGGCTGTACTGTGTTATTCTGTGCTTCTGAATAGCCACTACACTGCACCATGAGCAACACAGTGAGAGCCCTTCTCTAAAAGATAAACTTTTAACTTTTTCCTTCTCCCAGCAAAAAAGAAAGAAAGAAAGAAAGAAACCAAGTTATTGGGCAAGCTGCAGCCATATACCATTTTTGTGACCTTGAGTAAGTCACTTAACCTCTTGAACCATAAAGATATTTTCCCTAGGCAGGGCATGGTGGCTCACACCTATAATCCCAGCACTTTGGGAGGCTGTGAACACCAGCCTGGCCAACATGGCGAAACCCTGTCTTTACTGAAAACATACAAAAATTAGCTGGGTATGGTGGCGGGCGCCTGTAATCCCAGCTACTCAGGAGGCTAAAGCAGAAGAATTGCTTGAACCCGGGAGGCGGAAGCTGCAGTGAACTGAGACCATGCCACTGCACTTCAGCCTCGGTGACAGAGTGAGATTCTGTCTCAGAAAAAAAAAAAGATACCTTCCCTAAAGAACTGCTATAAATTGTAGTGCTCAGTAAACTATACAGTATAATACAAAAGCATGAGCAGTATTTATTAAATACAAGCTTCTATAAATAAAATGAACATGTTGTATGTAAATCAATGCTGCTACCATGTACTCTAACTTTGTTGCATGTGTGTGCACAGAAATAAATGTAGTAAAAGATACAGTATATAAAACCCATAAGAGATTTCCTTCTTTTAAATTTGGCAATATTAATATTTTTAAAAGCAGTGGGACAGAGTAAGTTACTCAAATACCAAAAAGAAAAAAATTATTAAGAGTTGCCTACCTATTGGAGGTGCTTGGTATCGATCCACTGTTTTTCTCTGTCTCAAATTATACGGTCTATCATTTTCTTCTCCTTCTGCCTCTTCAACTTCTATATCTCCATCCTCCTCTTGAGATTCTAGTTTCCCACACACAAAAAAGAAAAGAAAAAAAGCACTGTTTTAATCCAAAAGGATTAATCTACTCTAGAAGTGAATATTTACACTTTATCCATTACTGTTTCTGCACAGGTAACATTTAAGTGCCAACATATTATATACATGTAAAAGAAAATGCTTTCCCTGCCAATGATCAACACAATTATCTGCTAAATAAATTAATGTGATTAGATGCCTGTAATCCCAGCACTCTGGGAGGCTGAGGAGGGTGGATCACTAAGTCAGACGTTTGAGACCAGCCTGGCCAACATGGTGAAACCTCGTCTCTACTAAAAATACAAAAAAATTGGCTGGGCGTGGTGGCGCATGCCTGTAATCCCAGCTACTCAGGAGGCCGAGGCAGGAGAATTACTTGAACCCAGGAGGCAGAGGCTGCAGTGAGCTGAGATGGCACCATTGCACTCCAGCCCGGGCAACAGAGCAAAACTCCATCTCAAAAAAAATAATAATTTGGCTATAGCTACAATATAACATCTAAGTACAGTTAAAATAAAAGCATAGCTGGACGCAGAGGCACGTGCCTATAGTCCAACTACTCAGGAGGCTAAGGCATGGGATGGCTTGAGCCCAGGAGTTTGAGTCCAGCTGGGGGCAACATAGCAAGACTCCATCTCTTTTTTTTTATTTTTTATTTTTTTGAGACAGAGACTCTCTCTGTTGCCCAGGCTGAAGTGCAGTGGCATAATCTTGGCTCACTGCAACCTCTGCCTCCCAGTTTCAAGCAATTCTCATATCTCAGCCTCCTGAGTAGCTGAGGTTACAGGCGTGCACAATGCCTGGCAAATTTTTGTATTTTGGGTAGAGACAGGGTTTCAATACGCTGGCCAGGGCGGTCTTGAACTCCTGATCTCAAATGATCCATCCCCCTCAGCCTCCTAAAGTGCTGGGATTACAAGGGTGGTGAGCCATGTGTCCAGCTTCTATTTAAAAAAAAAACAACAACAACAACAATTCATGAAAATTAATAAGCATATGGACCCCCAAATGCAATATGTAACTTTTTAGCCACAAGAATTGTCAATATAATACAATCATATTAAAGCATAGAAAAAATATAAAGCTGGCAGGATACTCAGGGAAGTAGAAGACTAAAACTACAAAGGGCTGGACATGGTGGCTTACATCTATAATCCCAGCACGTTAGGAGGCTGAGGCAGGAAGACTATTTGGGCTCAGAAGATCGAGACCAGCCTGGATGACATATTGAGACAACCATCTCTATAAAAATTACAAAAGATTTAGCTGGGCATAATGGCAGGTGCTTATGATCCTAGCTACTCAGGAGGCTGAGGTAGGAGGATCACCTGAGCCTGGGAGATCAAGGCTGCAGTGAACTAGGATTGTGACAACGCACTTCAGTCTCAATGACAGAGTAAGAAACTGTCTCAAAAAAAAAAAAAAAACAACTGCGAAGGACTTTATACTTTACTCATGACATCTGAAAGCATTATTTGCAAACTTCTGTTGTTAGGCTGTAGAGAAAAATCGACAAATATAGTATTTATCCAAATAATACTATAACATATTTGTACCTAAATAAATTTTATAAATATTCAAAACATTACTTTTTGAAAAATGACTGTACAATCACAGTATTATAGGCAAAAATTCTAAATATGGCATATCTACTTTGGAAACTCTACAAAGATGTTCAATTAATGAAAAGGCAAAAATTACATTATAAATCTGTCTCACCTATACTGATTTTCTCCAAAGGAAGCAATTTAGAGGTTCTAGCTGTAACAACAATAATATTTGCTCAATAAAGTACCACCTCTTCAAAACTGGCAAATAAAAATATTAACTACAGAATTTTTAAAAAACAGTCTTCTCAATCTAAACTACACAAATAATGGGAACTAGTAAGATTCCCCTTACTATGCTTATACCAAATCTTCTCAAAATCCATTTCAATAAAGATTATGCTAGGCCAGGTGTAGTGGCTCACGCCTGTAATACTAGCACTTTAGGAGGCCGAAGTGGGCAGATCACCTGAGGTGAGGAATTCAAGACAAGCCTGGCCAACAAGGTGAAACCCCAACTCTACTAAAAATACAAAAATTAGCTGGGAATGGTGGAGCACGCCTGTAATCCCAGCTACTTGGAAGGCTAAGGCAGGAGAATCACTTGAATCTGGGAGGCAGAGGTCACAGTGAGCCAAGATTGCACAACTACACTCCAGCCTAGGCAACAAAAGCCAGACACCACCTCAAAAAATAATAATAATAATAATTAATGCCTATAGAATTAAATCCTATAGGTGTACTGGTCACTAATTTATAACTCAAGGGGCCAATGTGCTGCTGTCCTGTTCCCAACTCCAGCACTACAAGTTCAGTCTGGGTTATTCAGTTCGGAACCCATCAAGGCCTCAGAAAAGAACAGTACAGTCCCCTTCCACTAGTATTAGAAGTCTCTCTAAACTTTACTCTTTATTCCTCAGACCATACCTAAATTTGAGATCCACATAATCAAAGAGTTAGAGACCACGAATAACAAAGTAACCTTCCAGTTAGAAGGTGCCTAAGTACAAAAAAGGCCTCACCTAAGAAGCAAAGGAGCCCAAAGAAAATCCCATACCAGATGGCTACTAAAGAAATACATTACATAATGTATAATGTACAGTTAAAAACATTTTTCCAAATGAAGGAAATGAAATTCAGATTGCCAACTGAATTTAAATTATATCAAATTGCCGGGCGCGGTGGCTCAAGCCTGTAATCCCAGCACTTTGGGAGGCCGAGGCGGGTGGATCACGAGGTCAAGAGATCGAGACCATCCCGGTCAACATAGTGAAACCCCGTCTCTACTAAAAATACAAAAAATTAGCTGGGCATGGTGGCGCGTGCCTGTAATCCCAGATACTCAGGAGGCTGAGGCGGGAGAATTGCCCGAACCCAGGAGGCGGAGGTTGCGGTGAGCCGAGATCGCGCCATTGCACTCCAGCCTGGGTAACAAGAGCGAAACTCCGTCTCAAAAAAAAAAAAAATAAATAAATAAATAAATAAATTATATCAAATTAATATAGATCTCAAAATCCAAAAATCATCTACCTAGCAATATTCTACATATATTACTTGTATATTTATTTTTCTTCCCTCCACCTGAACTTTCTAGCATTTATTTCAAAAGGTGCTTTACAAACCTTCTTCTTCACCCTCAGTAGAAACTTCATGATGATTTTGTATCCCGTAACTATTTCTTCTTAGGGACTTTCTTCGCCTTTTCACTCTTGAATACATATCCATGTTTTCCTTTTAAAGAAAAAAAATCTGTCAAATAGTAACATGACATTTATTCTCCACTATAAAAAAACAACCCAATGGTACATACCTGTGCAATTAAATTTATTGAGCACCTATTTGCATGCCACAGATACTTGAAAATGGAGCTTCCTAAATTCAATACATTTAAGGGATAAAAGGGAAAAAACTTATAACAAATCTACAAAAACGTAAAACTCAGAATGCCAGCAACATACTTCCTCCCTCAAGCAAATTACAGCCTAGTAGGACAGAAATAAGACAATCACAGGTAATTATAAAGAAAGTAAAATAAGTTAATTGCCATAAAGAGAAGTACAAAGTCTCTAGAATCCAAACAGAAGACTCTCCTTTCGTTATGGGGTAAAAGGAAGGGAGGCAGTATTTGAAATTAACCTTAAAACAATGGTAGGACTGAATCGGTCACTAACTAGGAATATTAACAAGAGTAAAATTCATAGGAGCAAGAATGATTTGTTTATACTTAAGCAATGGTGTGTGAGAAAACAAAAGTTGAAAGCAGATCATAAAAGTCAAGGTGTTTTTAATAAATTCTGTGCACAATAAAAAATTATTAATGGTTCAAATCAGAAAAGTAACATAATCAGAGCTGCACTTTAAGGTGACTCATCTAGCAAAAGTGAAGAGGGTTTTCTTGGGAAGGCTGTAGCAAGAGGATAATGAAGAAAAGAAGAAAGCAAGCAATAAAATCCCAAATTAAGTTGGAAATGAAGAAGAAAGAATAGTTGTGCTAATTCAAAAACATACAACTGCCGCATTCTCCCTTTAAACTCCTCAGTTAAAATAAAAAATATTTACAAAGATTGCTCCAGCTAATATACTTACAAATTCTGTATCTGTCCACATTCGAAGTCGCTCTACTTCTCCCGACCGACGATTCCGTCGGATGTTAATGTTATCCATTTCCTGTAGTACAGCTTCAGCAGTACTAAAATCATATAATAAAATCAGGATTTAGACAATGGTGGCATCATATACATAAAAAAGCTCTTTGTGAAACTGTAATCGAATCATCTCTGATATGTAACTATAAATAACTTGTTTTTCTTTTTTTTTTAGATAGGGTATCCCTCTGTCACCCAGGCTGTAGTACAGTGGCCTGATCACAACTCACTGCAGCCTCAACCTCCTGGGCTCAAGTGAACCTCCCACCTCTGCCTTCCAAGTAGCTGGGACTACAGCCATGCACTACCATGCCCAGCTAATTTTTATATTTTTGTGTGGAGATCAGCTTTTACCATGTTGCCCAGGCTGGTTTTGAACTCCTGGGCTCAAGTGATTCACTCACCTCAGGCTTCCAAAGTGCTGCAAGTACAGTAGTGTGCCCCACCACATCCCAATTAAATACCTCTTTCATAACAGCATCTATCATCATAATACAGTGCCCAGTAAGAAAAACAAAACCAGGACATCTTCTACATATTAAATATTCATTAAAATAAAACTTTTTAAATATAAGGCTTTTGTTAATAAAGTCCCAATTAAAAAAATCCATAATGCCCCTACAAATAATTATCAGATCTATGACACTGAAAAAATACTAATTCAATCTTTTTATTGGAGATAGTGTTAAGAAATAATAACATTGCATAAAATAAAACAATTTTGTAAAAAGTTTAAAGTCAGTATAAGGTTTACTGGAAAGGCTTTTTTAGAAATCCGAGTAGAACACTGACATTCAAGAAACACATGCTAACATCTTAGCCATTATTTTTCCTTTGGCTCACATCTATAATCTCAGCACTTTGGGAGGCCAAGGCAAGTGGATCATGAGGTCAGGACATCAAAACCATCCTGGCTAACACAGTGAAACCTCGTCTCTACTAAAGATACAAAAAATTCGCTGGGCATGGTGGCGGGCACCTGTAGTCGCAGCTACTCAGGAGACTGAGACAGGAGAATGGCTTGAACCCAGGAGGCGGAGGTTGCAGTGAGCAAAGATCAGGTCACTGCACTCCAGCCTGGGCAACAGAGTGAGACTCCATCCCCCTCCCCCAAAAAATGGGGGGGGTCTCACTATGTTGCCCTGACTGGTCTTGAATTCCTGGGATCAGGATCTTCCCACTTCAGCCTCCTGAGCAGCTATGACTACAATCTCCAGCCACCACACTTGGCTATCTTAGCAATTTTTTTTCTATACTGTAAACAAATACTTATATAACAGGTACTATGCATCTAGATACTGATCTAACTACTTAACAACACTTAAGTTTTAAAAATAACTTAAGCCCAAATTTGATGTTACTACTGTAGAATACAATTTCCTCTCGTCAAATAGGGATTATAGTGACCATCTTCTCCAGGCTGTTGTAAGGATTAAGCAGGATGACATATTATCTAAGAAGAGTTTTACAGATGCAGATGTTGAATGGATAGTCAGCTTACTTCCTAGCTAAGAGACTCAATCCCACATATTCAGTCTCAAAATATCTTCGATTCAAAATCTTGACTATGTAAAACTACTATTCTACTATTCAGTATAGCCAATAATGAAACAATCAATCTTGCTTGAAAATTATCAAAAGCATAAATGTCTTATCAAATGACAATAGTAGTGAAGATAACATTACTTTTTATATTATCTAACTATTCAGAAGAGCTTAAAAGAGATGAGAAAATCAGCTATTGCACAAGTTATATATTAAATTCACTCAAATGACTAAAAAGCTGACAATCACTGCTAACCACTGTTAATTCAAATTAAGATGAGTTTTCCTGTTTTTGTTTTGCTTTGTTTTTTAAAGTAGAGATGCTCTTACTATTTTACCCAGGCTGGTTTTGAACTCCTGGCCTTAAGTAGACCCTCCCACTTCATCCTTCCAAAGTGCTGAGATTATTAGGTGTGACCCACCACACCCAGCTTCAAGTAAAGTTTTAAAAGAACTGTATTTATTGCTAAGTCCTTGCTTACGTTATTTTTTAAAAACGTAATTATATTAAAAACCAAATAATTAAATGAAACTGCTTACCACATAAGCATTCATACCTATTTACTAGTTGATCAAATAACAAACTCTGGTTCACGCTTTCAAATCTGTTTTTCCTGGAACGACAACTTTTTCTGACTTCCATGTCACCATTTATACAAGAAAGGTCCCCATCTCCCTTCTTTTCCCCTCGAAGGGGATGGCTTCGAAGGGCTACAAGAAGAGAGATATTTACATTTCAAAGTACAGAGTATAGAAAGAAAAGGAAAAAAAAAATTACTTTTAAAAGCCTACAAAAAGTTGAATATAACCTCTTAAATGGCTTTAATATTCAATAATCTAAAATTTCTATAATTTTTACAATCTGTCATAAATAATTTAAATTATTTCAGGTAGGCTGATTTCTCAAAGTTCAACAATTACATACATCTTTTTTACTATGACTGAAACTCAGCCATTTCCAACTGTATGCTCAGCACACTATTAAATCACTCTATTTTCCCCACTTTAATGCTTTCTCTAACATTATAACAATTTTAATACTAACCAGTTTCATAACAGAATACTCACATAAGCTACTATGTCCGTTTGGTAATGTAGCACCAGGCTGAGAAGTTAACCTAGAACACAATTATATTTAATATGCAAACACATCAATATTTGTTTATATAAGCAAGAAATGCAATATTGCTGGAATTATTTCAATCTTTAAAACTTTTTTAAAAGTAAAGATAACTTTTTTACTGTAAGATTGGCAATATGCCAATTAATAAAATACACTAGGTAGTTAAAAACCATTTCATTACTTCAAGAAAAGCTTAAATAACAGATTATAAACTAAGCTTACTCTGTCATCAACTCTACAAATTAAAATTCCAAAAAAAAGGCTTAAACTTAATATGTACCATAAAATTAACTAGACCATAAGCAGCAATGGCCACAGGCATTAACTATTGGTTTTGGTTGATGAAATAAATTTCAAACAATGATAAATGTATTAACACAATAAACAGTAAGAAAAACATGCTTGAATACCAATATCATTTAATAATTTATTCACAGTATTTTATTACACATTTAAACTGACAAATGAAAACAGCTGATTTATCAAAAAGGCCATTTTACGATTCTCTGTTGGGTGGAAGAAGAGAAATATAAATAACTAGAAAGGTACTAAAAAGGCCATCAAAACAAAAGGACTAGGAAAAAGTCACAGTATTTCTTAGTAGTCAGAAAGTTCAAAAGTAAAAACTAAATTGCTGCGTAATAAAAGAGCTGTCAATGCAAACTAAGATATTTTTGAAATATCCAATAATTATTAGTTTTGAAGATTAAAAAACTAGGGAAAGTACATCCAGAAAATCACAAATACATGACGGTCTTCTATCTATGTGATTTGCACAAATTTTTTAATTAATCTAACATTTTTGGTTACTCCAGCACTCTTCATGTTAAATTATAAATATATTGTATATCACAATACCCCTGGCCCAGAAAAGGTCACAGTTAAAATGACTAAAGGGTATAAACAAAAACTCAAGCCAGGTGCAGTGGCTTACACCTGTAATCCCACCACTTTGGGAGGCTGAGTCGGGCGGATCACCTGAGATCAGGAGTTTGAGACCAGCCTGGCCAACATGGTGAAACCCCATCTCTACTAAAAATACAAAAAATTAGCTGGGCATGGTGGCGGGCATCTGTAATCTCAGCTACTCAGGAAGCTGAGGCAGGAGAATTGCCTGAACTCAGGAGGCAAAGGTTGCAGTGAGTGGAAATCGCTCCACTGCACTCCAGCCTGGGCGACAGAGAGTGAGACTCCATCTCAAAAAATAAAAATAAAAAAACTCAAACTACTATGCATCTTCAGATTGTCAAAAAAAAAAAATTCTAGCTCCCCTTTCCTCTAGAAAACAACAACAAAAAAACTAACTTATCCTAATAAACTATCTCTTGGAGAAAATTTCACTTTTAGGACAATTGTATACAATGCACACGTTTCTACAGGTATATGAGTTTGACTATAAAGTAACAAATGATTAGGCCAGGTGCAGTGGCTCATGTTTGTAATCCCAACACTTTGGGAGGCTGAGGCAGATGGATTATGAGGTCAGGTGTTCAAGACCAGCCTGACCAACATGGTGAAACCCCATCTCTACTAAAAATACAAAAAAAAATTAGCCAGGCGTGGTGGCACGTGTCTGTAATCGCAGCTACTCAGGAGGCTGAGGCAGGAGAATCGCTTAAACCCGGGAGGTGGAGATGGCAGTGAGCTGAGATCATGCCACTGCACTCCAGCCTGGGCAACAGAGCAAGACTCAAAAAAAGGGATATAATACAGGTATTCTTACAATGTTGCCATTGCACAATGCATTTCCGGAACTCTTGAGAATCACTCTCGAAATCCACTTTATTATTTCAAAAATATACTTTGTCTTTAGATCCAACAAAGCATTAACTCAGCTTGGTCAGTTTATTCCCAAGTCTTGACACCAGGTGAATTTTCACTATACACAAAGCCAAATGGTTGGAATTTTACATCACTTGAATTGCTCAAAAGAATAAGATGCAGACCCTAAGGTCATTCCACAAAAGAAATCTAAAACTTTTTGGAACAATGGCAACATCATTGGGGAATAAAACACAATAAGCTTTTTGTCTGCTCTACAGAAGACAACGCTTACTTGGCTTTTATTGTTACTAATGAAAGATCTGTTTTAAGAAAAAAGAAAAAAAAATTGTTCTTCAATTGATCCAATTACCTTACAGTCAGAGATTATTACTATCATCATTTTGTCATCATCATTTATCTTTATAAAAGGGAGAGTGAGTGAAAAAGGAGACATGACATGAAATACATGAGAATGCATGAGTATATTAAGAGATATTAACATACTGAGGTTTTTTTGTTGTTTTTTGTTTTTGTTTTTTTGATTTTTTTGAGACAGTCTCGCTCAACCGCCCAGGCTGGAGAGCAGTGGCACGATCTCAGCTCACTGCAACCACGATCTCCAGAGTTCAAGAGATTCTCCTGTCTCAGCCTCCCAAGTAGCTGGGATTACAGACACCAGCCACCATGCCTGGCTAATTTTTGTATTTTAGTAGAGATGAGGTTTCACCATGTTGGCCAGGCTGATCTTGAACTCCTGACTTCAGGTGATCCACCCACCTTGGCCTCCCAAAGTATTAGGATTACAGGCATGAGGCACTGTGCCTGACCTATGAGATTTTCTAAGGATTATGCTGCTTAGACATATGTGCCTAAAAGTTTCTGTATTACATCAATGTTCTGAAAAGTTGGTCACTTAAATTGAGCAGGTGGCTTTGCTCTTTGGTTTTTTTAAAGGAAGGCAGGTGAGTTGGAGACTTTTTTCCTTATGTCCCTGTTTCCTGAATTTTTATTATTTATTATTTTTTGAGGGGACAGAGCCTCACTCGATCGCCCAAGCTAGACTGCAGTGGCTCTATCTCCTTGGCTCACTGCAACCTCTGCCTCCTGGGTTCAAGCAATTCTCATGCCTCAGCCTTCTGAGTTGCTGGGATTACAGGTGTGCGCCACCATACACAGTTAATTTTTTGTATTTTTAGTGGAGACAGGGTTTCACCATGTTAGCCAGGCTGGTCTCAAACTCTTAACTTCAGGTGATCCCCCACCCACAACCCGTCTCCGACTCCCAAAGTGCTGGGATTACAGGCGTGAGTCACTGCACCCAACTCTGTTTCCTGAATCTTTTAAATGGAAAGGGTTTCACTTTACATTAGGTGATTATTACATTATAATTTTTTCTACAGCTTTAATTATCTGGGGCACACATCATTGCAATACCAGACTTAAAAATCGTATTTATCTGTAATCCCAGCACTTTGGGAGACGAAGGTGGGTGGATCACAAGGTCAAGAGATCGAGACCATCCTGGCCAACATGGTGAAACCCCGTCTCTACTAAAAATACAAATAATAGCTGGGCGTGGTAGTGGCCACCTGCAATCCCAGCTACTCAGGAGGCTGAGGCAGAAGAATCGCTTGAACCTGGGAGGCAGAGGTTGTAGTGAGCCAAGAGCGTGCCACTGCATTCCAGCCTGGGCAACAGAGTAAGACTCCAACTAAAAAAAAAAAAAAAAAAAAAATCATATTTATTCTCCCTTTCCCACATAAACTCAAGGCACTTAATGATTTATGAAGGTTACAAACCTCAATTCAGAAAAGCCCCAGTTCTGACAGACCTCACTTAACCACTAGCACTCCTCAATTCTAATATGCCTCAGCAGTCCACATAGGTAGTTATACTTTTGCCTCACCTCACTACTTCCTTATTACTTAACCACAAAAGGAAATTCTCAAGCATGCTACATTTGAGTATATAGTAAATTTTTTTTTTTTTAGACAGTCTCACTCTGTCGCCCAGGCTAGAGTGCAGTGGTGCAATCTTGGCTCACTGCAACCTTCACTTCCCAGGTTCAAGAGATTCTCGTGCCTCAGCAACCCAAGTAGCTGGAATTACAGGCACTTGCCATCATGCCTGGCTAATTTCTGTGTTTTTAGTAGAGACAGGGTTTCACCATGTTGACCACATTGGTCTCAAACTACTGGCCTCAAGTGATCCACCCAACTCAGCCTCCCAAAGTGCTGTGATTACAAGCATGAGCCACCAAGCCCAGCCAAGTATACAGTAAGTCTTATAAAAAATTTAGTTTGTCTGTATCTCAGGGTATGCCTATTATTCTAGATAAATACCAGGTTAAATAAATGACTAGTAACTGAATAAATATCTGCTGACAAAAAAGTCAATAAAGTAGCATTCTGTATTCAAAATATTTATGAACTACCACATCTATGTTAGTATATATATTTAAGAATCTCCATATATAGTATAAATATATTAAAAAATATTTTTGACCAAAAACATCCTATTTTACTAAAAGTATCAATCATTAAAATTATGTTAAGCTGGGCACAATGGCTCATGCCTAGAACTTTGGGAGCCCGAGGTGGGCAGATCACCTGAGGTGGGAGTTCGAGACCTTCCTGACAAACAAGAAGAAACCCCATCGCTACTAAAAATACAAAATCAGCTGGGCGTGGTGGTGCATGCCTGTAATCCCAGCTACTCAGGAGGCTGAGACAGAAGAATCACTTGAACCTGAGAGGTGGAGGCTGTGATGAACCAACATCGTGCCACTGCACACCTGCTTGGGCACAAAGAGCGAAATGGTCTCAAAAAAAAAAAAAGTTCATACACTTGGGCTTTTAAACTCAGGTTGCTCCCCAAAAGAAAACTCATAACCTTGCTCAAATAAATTATGAAGATTCAGAAGTTCTAGGTCCATTTTTATCTCTATCTTCATCCAATTACCTAACTCTAAAATGGAAATTTATTTTGTCAATCAACAGTAATTTCATTAATGACCTTAGTGGTCTTTGCAAAGTTCTTTAGAATTTATTATTTTTCATAGCTAATGTTAATTATTATCTGTATTAAATTTTCATCCGTATGAATGAAGGAACAAGTTATTTTTCATGGAAGGACTTCAATACATTTGACTTAGATGCCCACAAGAGTTTAGACCACCAAAATAAAGGAATCAAGATTCTCAGGTTCATGACATAAAAATAAATACAAGCCTTCAAGTAATTCTTAATTTTTGTATTTATATTATCTAAAAATCTAAAATATTTTTAACTACACATTTTCCTTAAAATTAAATTCTACTGGCCAGGTGCAGTGGCTCACATCTGTAATCCCAGCACTTTGGAAGGCAGGCAGATCAGGTCAAGGGATAGAGACCATCCTGGCCAACATGGTGAAATTCCATCTCTACTAAACATACAAAAATTAGCTAGGCGTAGTGGCATGCGCCTGTAGTCCCAGCTACTGGGGAGGCTAAGGCAGAGAATTGCTTGAACCTGGGAGGTGGAGGCTGCAGTGAGCCAAGATCACACTATTGCACTACAGCCTGGGTAACAAGTGCGAAACTCCGTCTCAAAAACAAAACAAAAAAAATTAAATTCTATTGAATCTAATAGGTTAAACTGTATTTTATGTTCAGGTCATCTGAAACATCAGAAGACTCTAATTCTAAAAGTTTAACAATTACTCATACTCCTAGATGAATAAACTAAAAATTGAAACCTTTTTTTTTTTAACCAAGATAGGTCTCACTCTGTCACCGGGGGTGGAGTGCAATGGGGTTATCACAGCTCACTGTAGCCTCAAACTCCTAGGCTCATGAGATCCTCCAGCCTTAGCCTTTTGAGTAGATGGTACTACAAGCATGTGCCACTGAAGCTAATTTTTTAACATTTTGTAGAGATGGATTCTCACTATATTGCCCAGGCTGTTCTTGAACTCCTGGGTTCAAGCAATCCTCCCACCTTGGCCTCCCAAAACTCTGGGATTACACGCATGAGCCACCCTGCCCAGCCTCAAAAATCTCTTTAAATTGTGTGAACTACTAAACACTGTTCTTTTGCTAAAATAGAAACAGTAAATGTATTAGTATTCATTATTTTTTTATTTGAAATGTATTCTGTATTTTTTTAAAGAAGAAATATCCCACTCTAAGATACCTAAATGATTCCTAAACGGAAGCATAACCATCTTTCACTCACTGTCCCAAAATTGTTGAGGCTTTTTTACATGAAAGACCTCTATGTAAAATATGGCCAAGTGCAGTGGCTCATGCCTATAATCTCAGCACTTTGGGAAGTCGAGGGGCAGGTGAAACACCTGAGGTCAGAAGTTCGAGACAAGCCTGGCCAATGTGGTGAAACCTCGTTTCTACTAAAAACACAAAAATTAGCCAGGCATGATGGTAGGCATCTATAATCCCAGCTACTCAGGAGACAGAAGCAAGAGAATCACTTGAATCCAGGAGGACGGGTGGTTGCAGTGAGCAGAGATGACGCCATTGCACTCCAGCCTGGACGACAAGAGCGAAACTCTAACTCAAAAAAATTAAAATTAAAATTAAAAAATCAAGATCAATTTACATAACGGCCTGCTGAGTAGATAAGAGAAATCTACTATATTACTTGCACTTGAATAAACTGTTAAAATCATCTTAGAAGTCAAATTTTAACACTAAAAAAAATTGTTAGGAACATTTATCTAGAAGAAGACATTTGATTCACTCATTTAATAAATGCAAGATATAGATTATAACAGGTAGATTAAGTCTAGAAGTGTAATTACATGGCAGTACTAAAGTAATATAATTATCCAGACCTGTTTCATCTCACAGATGTGTGAGTGTGGGAAAGGAAAAAAAAATAAATAAACAGACTATGATTCATGTATTTTTCTACTTGGCCCCCAGACAATGCAAATTTAAAAAAATAATAATAATAATAAACAGGTATATCTTATGAAGTATATTTTAGTAAGTACAGAGACCCCTTAGAAACTAATAAATGTACAAAGACTGTCAAAGTCTATAAAACCCCAAAGATTTTTTTCACCAGAGAATAAAAGTATCCAGAATTTACTTACACATATAAAATCAAAATATTTTTAAATACTTGAAGAAGGAAAAAAACAAAGGACTTCCCTTTTACTTCTGTTCACAGTCACACATCATCAGCACTTCTACTTTAAAGATTTTAAAGAATCCTTTAGTTCCCAGATCCATGTAAAAAAAAATCGTTTTTAATTAGGAAAAAATAAAAATGATTTTATATAAAACAGAAGCTAAAGATTCTGATTTCAATGTTTAAATCTTTTCTGGCCAGGCACGGTGGCTCATGCCTTTAATCCCAGCACTTTGGGAGGCAGGTGGATCATGAGGTCAGGAGTTCAAGACCAGCCTGGCCAACATGGTGAAATCCCATCTCTACTAAAAATACAAAAAAGTTAGCCAGGCATGGTGGCACGAGCCTGTAGTCCCAGCTGCTCAGGAGCCTGAGGCAAGAGAATCCCTTGAACCCAGGAGGCAGAGGTTGCAGTGAGCCGCAATCACACCACCATACTCCAGCCTGGGTGACAAAGCGAGACTCCATCTCAAATAATAATTTTTTTCTATGTGTGTGTCTAACCTAACTACCATTTAGGAGTAAATTAAACTTAATCTTGTCAGTTTCAGAGTAAATTATCAACATTTACTCTAAAACTGACTGAAATTAAGTTTTCCTGATACATACTGAACCAGCCACAAAGCAAATTTAACTTAAAAACAGAGTAAAAGATGAAAAGATGTCTTTAAAAATTAATTTAAATATCATTATATCTTAGTATATCAATTCAAGTGAAATAGCTAATAATCTTACAAAAGGGAGATTTTCAAATAAAAATATAATTCTGACCATATGTTTTATTTAAATTTTCAGGACTATAAATACATATGTATACTCAAGAGTCATAGAAATCTATATTGTTTTACTTATGGTAGTTTCGGTTACATACCATGTATCTTTATAGAACAAATATATTTTAGAGTATATTGGGAGAAAATAAAATTACATATAAAAATTATAAAATAAGTTTAATACAATTTACTTATAAGTATTTATAAGACATAACTTTATAAGCTAAGAAAATTAGCACTACTATCTGCCCTGAATTACATTCAGTAATTTAAGAGAAAACAATCAATGAGTTCTCCTTTCTCACCTGGCCTGTCCAGTTGCTAAGTTCCATTCCTCTCGCTGACCAGTACTTCTTGATTTCGATTTGTCTTTGCATACAGAATCAGGTTGTTTCAAAGTGCGTTTGGCTGGAGGAGATACGTGACTGTCACTTAAACTACCATCAACTTCAGCTTTCTGAAAGACAATGTTAAAAATGTATTCATTATTCCTATTAAGACAAATAGAATTGTTGATATTAGGGGCCAGGTGTAGTGGCTCACTCCTGCAATCCCAGCACTTTGGGGCACCGAGGCGGTCAGATCACTTGAGGTCAGGAGTTCAAGACCAGACTGGCCAACATCGCAAAACCTCGCCTCTACTAAAGAAAAAAAAAAATTAGCTGAGTGTAGTAGCGGGCACCTATAGTTCCAGCTACTTGGGAGGCTGAAGCAGGAGACTCACTTGAACCCAGGAAGCAGAGGTTGCACTGAACTGAGATCATGCCAATGCACTCCAGCCTGGATGACGGAGCAAGACTTTGTCTCAAAAAAAAAAAAAAAAGGAAGAAGAATTGTTAATATTCTTGGGTAATCAAGCAAAGTATTTTGTCAATCAACAAATATTTACTAAATGAATTATACTGCGAATATAGCAGAAGATATAATCTGCAAACATAAAAAAAGAAAGATTACATTTATAACCAGAAAAGTATGTTCTGTTTCTTGTTTTGGCTTTAAAAAGTCTTCAAGAAAGGCTGTGTGGGGTTTTTTTGTTTAGTTTTGTTTTGTTTTGTTTTTTAGATGGAGTGTTGCCGGGTTGCGAGGCTGGAGTGCAGTGGTGCAATCTCGGCTCACTACAACCTCCACCTCCCGGATTCAAGTGATTCTCCTGACTCAGGCTCCTGAGGAGCTGGGATTACAGGTGCACGCCACCACGTCCAGCTACTTTTTGTATTTTTGGTAGAGATGGGGTTTCACCATGTTGGCCAGGATGGTCTCAATCTCTTGACCTCATGATCCACCCACTTTGGCCTCCCAAAGTGCTGGGATTACAGGCATGAGCCACCATGCCCAGCCAAAGGTATGTGTTCTTAAACGTTTGGCGTGTATATATATATCTCTTTCTATGTCACAATCCCTCAGACCCTCCTAAATACTCCAGTATGTACCTTCCCAAACAAGGACATTTTGTTACATTACCACTATACAAATCCCCTAATCAGAAAATAAACATTGGTATAATACAGAGTCAAACCATAGACATTCAAATTTTACCAAAGGTCCCAACAATGCCTCTCTTTCAGGTCCAGGATCCTATACAGAAACACATACTGCATTTAGTTAACGGACCTCCTCAGTCTCCCTCAATCAGTCTTTCCTTCTTTACCCATCTTTCATGTCCTTGACTGTCAAGAGTACAGGCCAGCCAGGCATGGTAGTTCACACCAGTAAGCCCAACATTTTGGGAGGCCAAGGTAGACAGATCAGCAGAGGCCAGGAGTTCCAGACAAGCCTGGTCAACCCATCTCTACTAAAACTACAAAAAAAAAAAAAAAAAAAAAAAAAAAAAGCCAGGCATGGTGGTATGTGCCTATAATCCCAGCTACTCAGGAGGCTGAAGTATAAGATTCACTCAAACCCAGGAGGTGGAGGTTGCAGTGAGCAACCACCACTCTCCAGACTGGGTGACAGAGCAAGACTCTATCTCAAAAAAAAAAAAAAGGACAAGCCTTTCATTCAATCTGGGCCCAGCTGATGTACCTAGTAATCAGATTCAGGTCATGCATTCTTAATAAGAATATTCAGAAATGATGCTGTGCTATCCTTCCCATCCCTAGGAATGTTAACCTTCATCACTTGGTCAACCTGGTGTCTTCCAGGTTTCTTCACTGTAAAGTAACTATGTTTTCCTTTGTATTTGACTTATATATTACGGGGAATTATTGCAATAATTCACCAATACCCTGTTCCTCATCAAATGTCTACTGACTACTCTTGCCATTATCAAACACCACAAAGATAGTGATTATCTAATTCCATCATTCCTTCTATATTTGTAGCTGGCATTTTAACAAAGAGCCTACTCTGTTTCCCCAAATTTATTTATTTATTTATTTATGGCCTCATGGATTCTTATTTTATTGTATAAATTATAATCCCTTACTCTATTTTGTTGCTCAGATTATGTGAAATTTAGCCAGTGTGAGTCCCTTCAAACTAATTCTTATATCTTTTGACACATCCTCATAATTTTAAGTACTTCCTTACTTTCTGGCACAACTAAATTCTGTAGGTCCATTTTACACTTTCCTTCTCTGGCCCCATAGTATTTCTCCAAGGAGCCTTGGTCCCTCTTAGTCAATGATAATATTTAGAAATGAAAATCTGGGCACTAGGTGTGCTCACTGTTACTGAGGTTTGACTGCAATTAAGTGCTCTCAGCAGACAGAGCTAAAGAATATATAAATACATAAACATACACATATAATATACCTGAATCATTTCCTTTTTTGAGACAGAGTCTCACTCTGTCACTCAGGCTAGAATACAGTAGTGTGATCATGGCTCACTGTGGCCTCTGCCTCCTGGACTGAAGCAATCCTCCAGAGTAGCTGGGACTGTAAGCACCTCCCATCATGCCCAGTTAATTTTGTTGTTGTTGAGACCTTGCTATATTGCCCAAACGGGTCTCAAACTCCTGGCCTCAAGCAATGCTCCCACCTAAGACTCCCAAAGTGCTAGGATTATAGGCCTAGCACCCTTTAAAGGTCTGAACAGAATAGATTTGCCACCTATTGTCTCTAAGGGAGGCCACTGCATCTATGTAATACCCACAACCCTTTATCTTAACCCAGATACTCCTTTGTACTGATTCCAGGTTTTCAGATAATAACTCTTCCAACAAACTGCCAACTAAAAAATCTTTGACGCCAGGCGCAGTGGCTCACGCCTGTAATCCTAGCACTTTGGGGGGCCAAGGCGGGTAGATCATGAGGTCAGGAGTTCAAGACCCACCTGATCAAGATGGTGAAACCCCGTATCTACTGAAAATACAAAAATTAAAGAGGCATGGTGCATGGTGTGGGGTGCCTGTAATCCCAGCTACTCAGGAGGCTTAGATAGAGAACTGTTTGAATCTGAGAGATGGAGGCTGCAGTGAGCCAAGACTTTGCCACTATACTCCAGCCTGGACAACAGAGTGAGATTCCATCTCAAAAAAAAAGAAACCTATCAGCTGCAAGCCCCCCGTCTTTCCAGGCTGAACCAATGTATACACCTCACATTTATTGATTGATGTCATATGTCTTCCTAAAATGTATACAACGAAGCTATAACTCAACCGCCTTGGGTACATATTCTCAGGACCTCTTGAGACTGTCTTCATCCATGGCCACTCATATTTGGCTCAGAATATAAATCTCTTCAAATATTTTACAGAGTTTGACTCTTTTTGTCAACAAGTATCTATAATCCTTTTCTTTTTTTTTTTTTTTTTTTTTTTGAGACGGAGTTTCGCTCTTGTTACCCAGGCTGGAGTGCAATGGTGCGATCTCGGCTCACCGCAACCTCCGCCTCCCAGGTTCAGGCAATTCTCCTGCCTCAGCCTCCTGAGTAGCTGGGATTACAGGCACGTGCCACCATGCCCAGCTAATTTTTTTGTATTTTTAGTAGAGACGGGGTTTCACCATGTTGACCAGGATGGTCTCGATCTCTCGGCCTCGTGATCCACCCGCCTCGGCCTCCCAAAGTGCTGGGATTACAGGCTTGAGCCACCGCGCCCGGCCTTCTATAATCCTTTTCAACATGCTACCATATAAAAATATTTGTGGCCAGGCACAGTAGCTCACACCTGAAATCCCAAAACTTTTGAAAGGTCAATGCAGGAGGACTGCTTGAGGCCAGGAGTGCCAGACCAGCCTGGGCAACGTAATGAGACCTCATCTCTACAAAAAAATCAAAAATAAAAACTAGTTAAGTCAGGCACGGTGGCTCACACCCGTAATTCCAGCACTTTGGGAGGCCAAGGTGGGTGGATCACCTGAGGTCAGGAGTGCGAGACCAGCCTGACCAACATGGTGAAACCTCATCTCTACTAAAAATACAAAATTAGCTGGGTATGGTAGCACATGCCTGTAATCCCAGCTAATTTGGAAAGCTGAGGCAGGAGAATCACTTGAGCCTGAGAGATGGAGGTTGCAGTGAGCCAAGATTGTACAATTGCACTCCAGCCTAGGAAACAAGAGCGAAACTCTGTCTCAAAAAAAAAAATTAGTTAGGCATGGTGGTATGCACTAGTAGTCCTAGCTACTCAGTGGGGGTGAGGTAGGAGGATCGCTTGAGCCCAAGAGGTCAAACCTGCAGTAAACTGTGATCACGCCACAGCCTGGGCAAAAGAGCAAGACCCCATTTCTCTTTTCTCTCTCTCTCTCTTTCTTTCTCTCTCTCTCACACACACGCGCGCGCGCGCACACACACACACACACACACACAGAGACATAAGGACACACTGGTACTAAAAGGCACAAAAGAAAAAACAACTGAAATTCAAATATGAGCAGATCTACAATTAAGATGGTGTATTAGTTTTGTAATACACCATCACTTATTAAGTTCAGTTCCCAAGAAAAGCTAGTTTGCTACTTACGAACTATATTCAGAACAGGGTGGAAAATCATTTAAGATGTAATTCAATCTTGTAATAATCCTTAACTGACATACTATACTCAAATGAGTGTTTTTACATTTTTATTATTTTATTTTATTTGAGGCAGGGTCTCATTGCCAGGCTGTTCTCAAACTCCTGACCTCAAGAGATCCTCCCGCCTCGGCCCCGCAAAGCACGGGTATTACAAGCATGAGCCACCATGCCTAGCTTCAGTTTTCTTTATACTATCTCATCCACTCCAACCTGGAATATTTATAGACTCCCAAGATTAAAGTGTGCATTAAAGGTCATCTAACTGAACTACTAATTCAAGATGTTTCTTACTTCAAATCTGATCTGTGAACCAACAACATAGGCATCATCTATCTGGGAGCTCATTAGAAATGTAGAATCTCAGGATCCACTCTCAGACTCACTGAATCAGAAACCAATTTTAAAAAGATCCCTAGGCGATTCATGGGCAAATTAGAGTTTGAAGAGCACCATTATAGAGCATATTCAAGACGTAGTCACTGGGCCCCATGACTGCT